GTAAAATGACTGCAGGTGTATTTGTCTATACCAAGAATAACTGTATGGAGTTAATTTTCTGCACAGTGACATAAATGAGCAGTCAGAAAAGAGATTTGACTAGTTTTGATGTCAGGATAATGTCTTCCATCTCTGTCACTGTTCTGTGAGATTCTACTCTACTGCTTATGCTAATGTAAACTAAGTTAATAAATTCCCAGAATATAGAGCTGTTTGCTAACTCCTTTTGCAATTTTGCAGAAGTAGAATATTCTTTCAAAACTGTTCTTAATTACATTTCTTTAACATTTAAAAATCTAAGAGCATTTTGGGAGAAAAGAGAAAAATGGTTGGCGTTCACAAGGCAGAAATGGTACAGAAAACATAAGCCATCGTGGGGGATATCATGGCGGAGGCACCCGCACACGTACCAGCAATTTCCACTGTGGAAAAAGCCAAGGACTGCATGAAAATAACATACCTGAAAATGAAGCTGGGAAGAAGGAAGACAAGGAAGAACCCAAACAATTTGAGGCTGAGGATTTTGTAAGTTAATTGTAATTATAATAAACAAGCTTTCATTGTTTCTGCAAGTGCCATTTTGTCCATTGCAAGCTACTTGATGAGATTTCAGCAGTTACAGATCATCTTATAAGAGATCACCCTTTCCATAGGTAAGAGGGTGTTAGTCATCTGTCCACTAACTTTTCTCTTGTTATCTTCAGTTCTTGCTGTTTTTTGTTACTGTCACCTAGGTGTTTAAATGAAGTTCAAGTGTTTAAGCAAAACTACAATTGGATTCTAAGCCTATTTCGTAGTATCTTAACTGCCGTTTACTGTGGCGCGTGTGTGTGTTAAATTCTGCATGACCGCATTTTGACTGCTTCAAAATCTGAAGTTGCTAACCTGCGATGTACTATTTGAGGTCACAGGCTTCTACACAGAATTGAGGAAGTAAGGGGAAGAGTAAACTTCCCTTTTGAAGAACTACACATGGCTGTATTTTGCTTTCTCTGCACAGTTCATATAAGTTTATTGAATACTGCCTGACATATTTCATTGGTTGTGTTGTGGGGAGACATGTCTAGCCTGTCCCCATTTACAAATCTTTGTTAGCAGAGGGTATGCTTCAGATGTTATTGTGATTCTTTATTTCACCAATTCCACATTTTAAGACTTACAGTTAAATTTCATTTTTAATAATGTTCAAACTTCCTTTCAGCCATCACTGAATCCTGAATATGAGAGAGAACCAAACCAGAATAAATCTTTAGCTGCAGGTGTATGGGGTGAGTATTATTGACTTTGTAGTATAAAAATCTGGTAGAGACCTAATTTTTTTGAACTTGAAACAGTTTAGTAGGATTTTTTTTCCGAATATTATAGTAGTGCAGTTTGAATTGGAGGAAACCGTGATGTTGCCACAAGTAACTGCCTTTTCATAAAAGAGGTAATATTTCCGTTCTGTGGGTCTGTGGGTGCAGGTACAGGTGGGGTGGTTCTCCTAGAAGTAGTACATGTCTGTCTGTAAAGATGTCGAGAATTCTTCTCCAGAGAGGAAATAGGATGACTGGATTAGCTAATTTAGTGATGTAATAGTGAGCTGAAGGCTTCGTGAAAGAAATCTGTGCTCTGAAGAACTTACAAAGGAACCCAGGAGGGCTTGAGAGAACAGGCTGGTTTGCATAGATTCAAGCTGTCAGAAAGCAAACGTCTTCAGCCATATCGCCTGCGTTGATAAATTTTTTACTTCAGGGACAACCGTGAGAGTGGGCCATGAACTGAACTGTAGTTTGGGTTGTTTTCTCACTTCCATTTGATGCATTTGGCTGCTACTTTACACATCTGTAGGTTTGAAATATACAATTCAATATACAATACTAAGAAAATGGCAGCTTTAGACTGTACAATTTTTAAAGCAATAAACTTAGAGAGAACCTGTATCTTTTTAGGTTAGTAATAGTCATGGGGGGATTAAAATGGTTATTCCACTTTTTGAGAAATTTATCTCTGTTCTGTGTGTGTGTTTGACACCAAGTGTCAGTTGCTTAGCGGGTGTGGTGATTGACCATCTCTTTAATGACTGTCTCTGTCTTGAACCTGGAATAATAGGGTGAGCTTCAAAAGTTATGTTATGCTCAACTGAGGCACAGGGAAAGACAAAACTGTTTTTGCCATGGTCTAGAGTAATACATATCCTTTCCTTATGTTTATAGAGTTTTGTGTGGAACATGACTCTAAACTGAGCTTTTAATAAAGTTACTCTTTAGTAATAACCTGAAATATAGGAATGAATCTTTTGGAGATAATTATTAACAATTTGCAAACAAATACTTTATAGAAGAATGACTTTATTTTCCAAAAGCTAAAATTCCACCATGACAAGTCAAATAATGTTATAAATGATGATTGTAGAAAATGGAGCAGAACTTCAACTTACCCAACTTTGTACAGTGTATTACTGACGAAGTTATTGCTGAACTGAGTTCCTGTTTGCTCTGCACTGCATGGCTACCTTGTACGCTATGAACTAGAAACCTAAAAATACGTAATTATTTTTAACACAATTAATTATATATATATTTTTTCTTTTCCTGTTCCCTCCTCTCCTTTCTCTCTCCAGAGTATCCTTTGAATCCTAAATCTAGATCTCCAAGAATGCTGGTCATTAAAAAGGGGAGTACTAAAGAACTGCAGATATCAGGATTCCCTGTGGCTGGAGGTCTTCATTCACAGTCGGTCAAGAATGGAACCGGCACAAGTGTTTATAAAGGATTAATCCCTAAACCAGCCACTCCGCCTGCAAAGGTAAGTTTTGGATGCTGGTGCCATGAGCAACATGTTGAAAAAAGTCATAATCAACTTCTGAATGTGCTCATTTCAGCTGACGTGTGCTATACCTAGAGTATTACGATTTCAAGTCTTGCGTACTTGAATTGTAGCACCCCTTCCCCCAGAGTGTCTGGAAACACTTTATTTTTCTTCTTAAATTGTACTCTATTTTGATTTCTCTTTATTTCTTAATTACCTTTTTTTGAGGTACGCAGAAGCTGTCCAGGTTAGTGTGAGAAGCATTTTCTAACTTACAGACTAGCAATGACCTAGTGGATGACTGTAGTTCACATATATACTTTAAGAATTTATCCCAGTTATTGATATAGTGATACTGCAATCAATCTAGAACTGTCATTTAACTTTCTTTTTGCAACATTCTCTGTTTATCTCTTGATTTTCTGCATGAATTTTTCTGTACCCCAAAGACATCTTGTGGAGTTGTTCTCAACTCCTGCTACATAAACAATACTAGTTTAAGATATGCAAAGCTCTATATTTCTGTTTTGAATTCATCATATCAGGATCTTGATTATTTTTATATTTAACTGGTGTGAAGATGTGAACAGTATTTGAGAGCGAATTGCTTATAAACTGACTTTTGCAGAAAATAAAGGTGTTTGCACTAAATAATGGTTGTAGATTTCATTCTGCTTAATCATTTTTCTGAAGATTCTTGAAAATTATTCTGATATAATTAACAAGTCTTTACATTTATGTTTAATATTCTGTTTAGCCGACACAGTGGAAAAGCCAAACAAAAGAAAATAAACTTGGGAATCCATTTCCTCATGAATCTGCATATAGTATTGGCAATTTCAGTGCTTTCAAATCAACTGTCAAGGCATTTAATGTGTCACAGAATTCAGCGAAAGAGGTAAAGCAAGTAATTTTTGTCAAATCTGTCCATTTTTAGCTTGATTACTCAACTGAGATAGAAAAGGGATGTCTGTGGCCTTTGAGTGCTTGGCAGTTTGCTTTGTAGGTTTGATATGCAGTAAAAATGGTGCATTAGGAAGTCCAATCTCATGGACTTAAAAACTGCTAATGTATGGTATGTTTGTGGAGGTCCACCTTTCATTAGCAGTGTTCCATAAGTCTGTGTCTCCATAAATTAATAAATAGGCCTCATACTAAAGACTTGTATATAGTGAAATACAAATATATTCCCTCTGGATTTGAATGTGAGTGTACATGAAACGTGAAACTACAGGTGCTCTAAAGGCTTTTTCAGAGCTTTATAAAGGATAACCTTCTGATATTCTTTTTTTTCTTGGCCCGTCCTTAGTGTAATCGGTCAAATTCTTCATCCCCTGTTGACAAAGTTGGTCAGCCTCGTTTAACAAATTTAACAAGAATGCGGACTGATAATAAGAGTGAATTTTTGAAAGCGCTGAAACGAGATAGAGTGGAAGAGGAACATGAAGATGAGAGTCATGCTGGGCAGGAGAAGGTAGGTTGATTTATAACTCCTATAGATATAACAATGACTGATTTCAGATTTCTGTGATCCTAAACAGATATGCAGTGCCAAGGAAAAGAAGAAACTTGTGTTGCAGTTAAGTCATTCATTTTCTGTTTTTAGACATCCAAGGCCATGGCCTTTTAATGAATTTTAAAAAAATTATCCCTATTACATCTTTCTCCAGGGCTGCACTGGACTAGATCATCTCTAAAGGCTCCTTCCAACCTCAACCATTCTGTGATTATGTGAATTGATGAAATAATGTGATTGAAGGCTTTAGAGTTCTGCTTTGACTGCTTCCTACATCATTGGAGTGTTTAACCAGACGATCTCTTAATCTAGTTGTAGGAGCAATAGTTTGGTTTATGCATATATAAAGAGCCTTTTACTTGCTGAGAGCTGCAGGGCCTGCTCTGCGTGTGATACCGCATGTCGGGTGTTTTCCACAGGGCACTGCGTGTGCTGTGTTTAAGTGGCATCTGAGGGTACAGCGCGCCAGAAAGACGGTCTCAGTGCCAGCTAGCACAAAGCCATAAGCATTCTTGTCATGCCTGGTCAGGATGAAGCTGTTCCAAGCCAATGTTTGTTGGAAATGAGTGATTTAGAGGATGAAAAAGGCACAAACAGCAAATCAGCAAAAATAATGAGTGTTTTAGGGGAAAGATTATTGTGATTCAGTGAAATAAAAGAAGTGTTGTCAGTGCGCATTCCTTATAATTGGAAGTGAGACTTTGACTCTAAACTTAAGCTGAACTTTTGCTCATGAAATAAAGAGATATTTTGGAAAGTTCTATCTTGAACTTCAAAATTCTGCAAAATAATACATGAACTTTTTTGGAGATCCTCAAATTGTCCTGAATACTTAATATCTTCATGATATTTGTACTTTGTACCAATGGACTTTGGTTATTTGCTTTTCAGATTTGTTTTTAATAAAAGTGTGCATGTTGCAGGGGAGGAAGCATTTTCAGTTGTGCCAGGATGTTGTTCTTACTTCCATGCATATTGTTTCCTGCCATTGTTGTTACATTAATGGGCATTAGAAGAGGTTAAAGGTTAACGAATTATGTAATAGTTGTCCTACTTTCAAGTTAATTTTAATAAAGTGAAGGCATAGTGTGCACCTGAGCAGATAGGGAGATATCTTTTGTAATGTGGTCCTGTTGATGGGAGTTTAAAGCCTGCTGTAACAGACTTCATCTCTAAAATAATGAAGCAAATCATGACCAGCAGCTGAGTCATGCTTGCAAGAAGTTACTTTGGCCAAATGTATTAAATTTGTTAATATTTCTGTGAATATCATAGAATATTCATCCGAATAACATATTCTCCGGGTTTCCACTTTAATAGCTGAACGTGTATTTAATTTCTTGCTCATCATTCTAAAATTTCTGGAAGTGGATAACATGATAAACAGAAATGTAATGATGCTGATGATCTCAATCCTGGGCTCTGAAGTATGATTTCTCACAAGTGCAGAACTGGCTGATGGAGCAGTTGCCTGCTGCAGTGGATAATGGCATTACACACCATATGTATGGATTTTGTTTTCCAAGGGCTGTTAGCTAGTTAATGCTGCTCTTTGTTTGTTTTACAGTTGGTAAAACTTCTAGGGCTACTTGGATAGTTACTGAATAAGACCTAAAAACTGTAGAATGAGTGGAAGCAGAAAAAGCTCTGTCAAGAGAGGTTATTAAAGCTTCTAATATCTGTGTCAGCTTCATTAGTTTTTAAATGCACTCTCTTCCTAGTTCTTATTTCTTAGCTAGATGAGGCATATAGTTCCTCAACTATACAATAACCTGCTGTAGTTGGGGTGCATGTATGTGTGTGTAGAGGAAGATACTGGGTGGATTTAAGAGCAACGTCTGATCTCCTTAAATTTGTCAGATGAATTTGTTGTTTGCAGTATGGTGGCTGTAGCCTGTCTCTTAAGTGATACAAACTTCATTCTATTGCTTTCAAACTGTTCCTGACACAGACACTTCTGATACTTAATTATAAACCCTGCTAGTAATTACAGTAGGTAACTTACTATTTCTTAAAATATGAAAAACAAATAAGTTTGGATTTTGAAGTTTGAAACAAACTATGGAGAAAGACAGTTTGAACCAGAGCATGGAGTTACTGCTTTCTGCTTTATTTGATCAGTGACATAATATACATTGTTTTTTTAGTATCCAGATATTGCAAACTCCTGAAGCAGGAACAAAATTATTTCTTGAAGTAGTATAGAGTTTCTCCATTTAAAAGTGATTTAAATAAAACAGAATGGCTTTCAGCGTTTTTAAGAGCATTAATTGTAAATGGAATTATGTAATTATTTTTTATAGGATGATGACTCCTTTAACTTGCATAACAGCAACAGCCCTCATCATGAGAGAGATATAAACCGAAACTTTGAAAATGAAATTCCGCAGGAGAATGGAAATGATTCGATTACATCTCAACAGATCATTCGATCTTCAACTTTCCCTCCGACAGATGTTCTTTCAAGCTCACTTGAGGCAGAACACAGGTATGTACTCTTACATAAAAAATGTTCCTAAATGGTAAGTGAGCTTGTCTTAAATTCTTATCATCTCAGAAACTCCATCCAAAAACTGAAAAACAATGCACGTAATTCCTGCCATTTAATGTAACATAAATGATCAAGTTAATGTCCTATATAATACACTTAGTTTTTCCTCATTGTTGAAATAAAGAAATTAATACTTATATATATCCGACTTTTAACTATGAAAAGTATCACAAGACGATGAAGGGGAAGTAAATTCAGAAAAGGTTTGAAACATTTCTAGTTTCTCACAAAAGTACCTGTAATAGCTACTGATACAGAGTGGTGATGCTGAGAAATCACAACTGTAAAAGCCTTGGAGGTGAACTTTTTCAGGAGTCTATTTTAATTCATGGTGTTC